TGATTTTTTTTCCCCCCCTTTCAGCACCATCAACATCAAGAGTTTTCTGAACTGCAGCTGCTGCCCCCCAGGATGGCTCCCTGTAGGGACACCAAGGCAAGCTCTGCTCTGTGTCCCTAACTCGGGGCAAAGACTCACATTGCATCCCTCCTCTCCTGATGGATGTCCCGGCAGAAAAGGGGCCACCACACTGTGGCATCTACTGCTTAAGGCGGAGGTCCAGCCCAGCTCTCATTCACCCCCTGCTCACAGGCTCCAGGGAAATCCAGGGAGTCCAACTGAGACATTCTGCAGAGCAGGAGCAATTCATAAAGATCAATCTCCAGCAGCTGAGAAAGGAGAGAACCTGCTAAATGACCCTGCAGCACCAACCCCCTGGTGTGAGCCCTCAGCCATCTGCAGAACTGCAGGGCTGCACCTGCACCCAGGCACTCCCAGAGCACAGGAACAAAGCCATGCCTTTGCTCCCCCTTTCCCTGTCTTTAAGGAACACAGAGAGTGGATAAGAATTGTTTTGAAGCCATATATTATGGAGCTATTATTTAGCAGAGTTAAAAAACAGATTTGACAATTCTGAACAAACTCGTGGTGAATATTTTTTCGAGAGATTGGAGGCAAAGGAAAAAATAAAGCAGGCTGAGCTGCCTTGTGCTTTCTTTCTGGTGGGAAAATGTCATTTTAGTAAGAAATCAGTTTCAAGTGGAAAAAAAGTATGGAATATATTGCTCTAGGAAAAAGCAGAGTAGCTGCTCCCACCAATATTACATCAACAAAATATTAATATCTGAAAATCAAGCCTACCGTTCACAGACTACAGCCCACAGACAAGCACCTTCTGCTGGCTCTGCCAAACCCCTCTGGAGCGTTTGTCTGGGAGATATAAACAGAAATGTCTGGGAGGCTGTTCCCTACAGCCTTCACAGCCCTCAGTGAAACAGAAAGAGCAAAAGGAGGCTTTTCTCTAATTACTTTTGGCAGGATAACAACTTGAGGAAATGCCAGGGAAGACTGTTCAGCCAGAGGCAAATCACCTCCTGGGACGTGAGAGCTGTGCATGGAAAGAGAGGAGTAAGGAAGGAAAAAGGGAAGGGGCCTTTGCTCGGACATCTTTGCTGGGACTCACTGCAAAACACGGTCTGAAAACCTTGAAAGGATTCAAAGAGGTTACAGGCTACTCCAGGGGAAGGCCAGCAGCCCTTCCTGTGAGACGAGAGCAGCCCCAGCTCCCGCTCATCCATCTCATCACAGTGGAGTTTCAGAAGTGAAACTGTCACTGCACAGAAGCAGATTATCTGATTGTGGGAGCTTTCAATTAACAACGGCACAACCAAACCCACCGACGGGAAACTGGTTTGAGAGATTGAAATGGAAACGATATTCTTTAATGATAACCAACATCCCCCCCCCCCCCAGCAGGGCAGCCCCGAATTGATGCCTGCCACCTTCCTGAGGGAGCCCTCCTCAGAGGTGATTCCTCCATGGCTTCCCCAACAGCTGAACTGACAAAGAGCCACAAACACTCACTGCCCTGGCAGTTTTCAGCTTTTTTCCACACACTGTACCCACTGCAGGGAGGTCAAGGCTCCAGGAGCAGCTTGCGCTGCTCAAATGCAGGAACGTTTTGTTCTCACTTCAGTGGCACTCAGGCAGAACAAGAGTCTGAGCCCAGGCCTCCAATACTCCACACAAGCATCCTTGGACAGAAGGCAGGCTGCAGCAACAAAACCCCCATTGGCCAGATGTTATCTGGAAACACAAGCTGATTTCCTGGCAAGGAATGAATAAAAAAATTCTACATGAAAATTCACTTGGATACACACTTCTTGGTGAAAAGTTACTCTTATACAAGTTTTCTGTCACATTATAACTCCATGCTGTCTCCACTTCCTTTTACCTAGAAAAGGAAACTAATCATCTAATCAGGACATAACACCATAATCAAACTCAGAGCTCAGGCAGGTTACAGCCACAGCTCAGTGGTAGCCAGGAGCCTGTGCCTGATCCAGAAGAAACATGTGCTGTGCTCCTATCTTTGCTACACAACCCCACTGGAGCCTCACCTGCGTGGGGCTGCCCAGGACACTTGACAGAGCTCAGCAGAAGGTGCAAAGCCATAAAAGCAGCTGAGGTGCCCAGATCTCAGTGTGAGCAAAGACCTCTGGACACCTGAGGCAGGCAGGCAGGCAGGCACTAGTGCCAGTGATTTTGCACACTTTGTTAACTCTGCTGCTGAACAAACAAGCCCACGATGGTCCCTTCAGTCCTCTCCTCTCTGATGACATCAGACTGCAGCAACAGGGAGGTGGTTTGGGCTGGGGCACACAGTGTGCAAGGAGAAACTGAGAGCAACAGGTTTGTTCAGGCTGGAGAGAAGCTAAAGGGAGATACTACAGTTATCTGCTGCTCTCTGATAGGAATGCTGCTCACATAGGAAAAGCTGAAAGGCAACGGGCACAACAGGAGAAATTATGCAAGGAAAACATTCACTGTCAGCACAGTCACACACTGGAACTGGAAGTGGCACCACTTCTCTGAAAACAACCTGCTATAACTTTGAACTTGACCCTTCTTTCAGCACGGGGTGGCCAAAGCAGCCTCCAGCCATCCCTTCCAGCTCCATGAGCCAAAAAGCCTGTGGAGAACCACTTCCCATGAGACCTCTCACACTTTGTGGGAAGCTGCTTCAAGAACTTGTGCCTTTCAGTTTTCTATCACCTGTGAAACGAAGCTGATGTGATTTCCTTATTCAAGCCTTTGTCTAGCAGGTGTACGGAATAGCCCACTTTTTTAGTGTGGAATAGATGACTTGGCTCTTCAGAACACACAAACCAGCACATACAAACAGGAGAGACACACTTTGGTGCCAATACTTGGCATTTTGTTTCAGAACTCGCCTGTGATGCTGTCGGAGGCTGTGTGCTTCCTGCAGATCTGAAATCCTCAGAGCTGCCCCAGAGTTTCTAGCAAACAAATTTAATGCTTTCATTTTACACCAGAAGCATAACAATTATCTGGGAAATCTCCCTCCCACACCCTGCAGTCTGTATTTTGGGTGGCTTGGTGATCTCACCCCATTGAGTTACTCAGGTTCAATCAACACTGCTTTTGAAAACTGTCATGTAAAAGCCACTGGGGTCAACTTTTAAGTCAGGGCTCACCATGAACAGCTGCGTGTGCTTAAAAACAGAAAGAACAGGACAAAAAGAAATCTTCCATCTTCTCTCTCCCACTCCTCTCTTATCCACACGTTGCCAGACCTTAAGAGACATGACTTACGACTGCTCTCATCCTGCCAGGCCCTGCTTAGGTTCTCTGCTGTTGTCTTCCCCAGCTTCTTCATAATCCTAAAACGGTCTTCTCGTGAAGAGAGCCACCAATATCTGCCCAGACACTGCCTCGTGCTATTCCTAACTCCACAGCGCATCCCACAGGGAGATGCAGGAAAGCCAGGAACAGAGTGACAGCTGCACAGCCCCTCGTTACAATGCTGGTCCCATAGGAACAGTCACAGAGATCAAGAAAGGAAGTTATGAAATAACAATAACTGGAAAGAAACACCAGGGACCTGCACCCTCTTCAATCCTGGGGGCACAGCAGAGAGTGAAACTATGCAGGAAACATGAAGCTAATTAAATATAATCCTAATTAAATATATTCCAAACAGAGGAAAATTAGAACAGCAGGGAGCTATGATCTTCCCCTTTCATATTCCCCCAGCAGAAGCCGTTTTAATTCCACTGTCTGGAGGCACAGTAAGTAAAGCCATACTTCAGCAGGTACCTCCATACCTGAGGTTAAAAACAGGTCATATAGTAATTAAGATATTTTAATAGAATTCTCATGTTATAATAAGTCTACTCCCACAGCTGACTCAGGAATACAGTAGAGCACCTTAAACCCAGCAGGTGGAATTTCTCCTTTTACACACAGGGTAAAGCTGCATAATTTTATGATGAAGTAATAAAAGGCTGCATATTTTTACAAAGAAGTAATATGAGAGATTTGTTGAGGCTGCAAATCCAAGGAGTCTCCAACATCAACAGTGAATTGGTGTATGTATTTGGGAGCTGCTGTCCCACCTCAGGGACAGTCAGGCTGCCTGTTGGGATGGCTCCATCATTACCTGTACTGACAGGCACAGAAGGTGCCTCTCATCACAGGTCCAACGACTCCTAAACATCTGATCACTACAACAAGGCATGGGTGAGTCAAGGACTAGGCTGGTAGGAAAATATTACTCACAAGCCTGATTTTACTGTGTGTTTTGCTAACTGGTGAGAGATTCCTGTGACAGTCCAAAAGACAGGCTGGAAAGGACCTTTCCAATTTTGCCTTGTTTTCTCAGTTTCTAACCAGAAGTTCCTCTGGTAGAAAAGGAACACTGTCAGCTTACAGAGTTGCTCACCTTCAAAAGAGCCCACCCTGTTACCAGTTAAAGGAACAGGAACTCCACAGGTGCAACAGAAGCTGGACAAGGCCCCTGGAGTGTGAGCTCAGGAGAGAAGGGAGGGCAAGGAGACAGATTCCCCGCACTCACAAAAGAAACAAAAGCACACTTCATTTAAAACCAACTTTTTCCACTCACATTTATTTTTACTAAAAAGTCTTCACAAACAAGTACCTTGCTGCTCCTCTCCAATTCAGTGGGATTGCTGCAAGTACTCCATGGCACGTGACTCTGAGGAATCAGAGAAAGTGTCCCACAACTCAGTCATATTTCCATAGGAAAAGCTGACTCATAACTTCCGTCATCCTTGAAATGCTGATGTGGGTTTGCAAGAAGCACCCGAATGACAAGTCCCAGGGCTGCAGCCCTTGAGGGCTGACACAGCTGCCCAGCTCTAGCAGAGGAGAAGGCCCTCCTTTGCTGCCAGGCGCTGCCGATGGATCTTATCCTGCTGTAGCTCCTCGTGGTTTGGATGCCAGAGTTTCATGACAATTCTCTCGATGTTTAGAGCATAGACAGTGTGTGCAGGAATAACTTCTTTGTGCACCTGGAAATAGATGTCAGAAAACAAGTTTCATGCTTTCATCCACATTTCCTTACGTTGCCCAGGGAATAACCCCCCTCTACCACAGGATGCTGCGAGTGCCAGCCCTGCAGAGTGGGAATGCAGGCTGTCTCACACGGAGAGCTGCTTCCTGCCAGCACTGCCACACCAGCCACCACAGCACAACCACCTGTTACACCACTTTGGAAGGGAGTAGCATGATAAGGAAATCATTGTTTTGCTCTTGGGATGACAAGCAGTAATTTGTCATCAAGCCCTTGGAAACAACAATTCCATCTGACTAAACACGAGATGAATGTTTGATTACGGCTCTGTGGTCTGTCTTTACAGCTGTGAGACAAAATGCCAAGGCCTGTTCACAACAGCAGAGATCATCAAGGGGAACTTCTCACAGCGAATTTTAGAAATCCAAAGCAGTCTCAATGACCCCAGAGCTGCCAGAGCAGGAGGGAACCACGGGCATAAATCTCCACTGAAGATTCACGTAGTCTACCTCAGATATGGTTAGAGTGACCATAGCAGGAGCCTGCATGCCAGGACCAAATATTCCTCTAAGTACCCAGGTAGAACACGAGGAATAAGAAGGGAAATGCCAGGCAAGTTATTTCGCTGTGCAGCACTGTCACAATCTGTCTAGATCAGTTCTGATATAATCACTGCAGTCTTGGCAGAGGATGAGTTCACCCTTCCTGCATAGCTGTGAGACAAGGATCTCCTCATCAGCCCTCTGACCAGGGGGAGCAGAACAGGCATTAAACCATGAGCTGACTGTGTTACCCGAACAAATCAAAGGCAAAGAATTGTAAATCTGAGAGGGAAAGAGGAGAAATGAGCTCACCTGTAAGGCCTCGAAAAGGTCGTACATGTTAACTGGTGGGAGGGAGGTTGGCAGGGTGTCCCCAGAGCAGGCCAGGAGCAGGGCTGCCTGCTGCTCAGCATCGTCAGGAGGGGGCTGCGGGGCCAGGCTCTGACCAGCCGAGGGTGTCACACTGCTGGGAGGGCTGAGGGCAGAGCAGCAGGAAAACGTTCCAGTCACCAAAACAGCACCAGCATTGGGAACCACGCAGCGGGGGCCTAGCCTCAGGGCTTGTTTTTCTGTATCAGTTGACTAAAACCACGTGTACATAAAATTCTTTCAGCTCTAACAGAAATTCCAGTTTATTAGAAGCAGCACAGACTGATCCTCAACATGCCTCAGCCCTGCTTAACTGATCTCAATTGTGCAACTTTTGTTTTGTTGTGCACAGTAGTTTTTACCCAGCATAAAAATTAAGGCACGCACAACATTAAATTGAAGCACTGGCTGTTAGGCAGAGTTGTTTGCAGTGTTTTAATCAAACTTGAAAACACTCGTGACCTCCTGTCAACTGTTGGAAGCTGCCACAGACAAACACAACTGCCTTCTCATACACACACATGCTGTCAGATGCACAGCACAAGCTGTTCAACACTGAGGCTCCAAACACAATGACCCTGAAGCTCTGCTAACTGGAAAGTCACGCCAAAGAACCATAAATACATTTGGATGCAGGAATGACAGGATGGCAGTGTCCTGCAGGTTCTCACTGACATTTCAATCCCATGGCACAACAGCTGTGCCCCCGCCAAAGGCAGGGCTCTTCTGCCCAGGGGCAGTCTCCTGAGAGCAGCAGAAACTGCTGCTGAAAACTCTGTTACTAAAGCTTCCAAAAAGCAATAATAAATAAACTGATGGACAAGTACAGGTAAGGAAGAGAGACCTAACACCATCTTAAAGTCTGCTGCTGAGAAATCCCCCTATTCTCCCTCCCTGTTTAGCTGTACAGTCCTGTATGCCAATACCTTTCTAGTGTGTGAAAGCTAAACCCCATTAACACATCCTACTAAGTAAAAAAAGAAACTGAACCAAGGAGTAACTTCAGGACTGGCAAAATCCGTTTAAATTAGCTCCTTACCACTCAATTAAATTGTTATAAGCAACAACACTGTTCTTCAGATACGGCTGAGGGTTGACATTGCTTCCAAAGGCGTACTTGAAATGGCCGTCCCTCAGACGATAGGCTTTCCGCCTGGAGATCACGGATGTCAGAATGTCCTTGAGATGGTTCTGCAACAGAAGACAATCTTATTGCATGTGCTGATTGATTCACTCGTGGCTAGAAGTGCCTCACCAACTAGCAAGACAGAAACAGTGCTGCTATGACCACAGGGACCTAAAGATGGAAGGGAACCAGTATGTGGACAGGTTACAGTATGTTTGTGGGAGTACTGTAAGCGTCAGCCTGTGAACTGTACTTTAATACGTGATGTGCTGCTTCAAATGTCAAAGGGGTTTCTTAAATGCCAGGTAATTCCCAACCTCTGATTCCTCTGATAAAAGGTTAAAATTTCATAATTTGACACTAGGTGTTACACTTGAACTGAAATACAGGCCCTGAAACAACAGTGAAAAGCCACTCACACTCAGGCTTGTTCAGTTGCCTGGAAAGTGCTGAAGAAGCAACCGTCTGAAGAAACAAGCAGACAACTTCTTAATTTGGGCCTCACTCCCAGAGAGGGAATTTGGGTTGGCCTCCACATCCCACGTGCAGAAAACCATTCACACACCAACGCTCCAAGTAGTGGCTGTATCATTCCTGGGACAGGCCAAGCGATGCAGCACTGATGGCCAAGACCAACAGGCGCTTCACCTGCAGGTATCACCCAATCCTGTCGCTTCACGGCCAGGCCAGACACTTGCGCCTGCAATGGATTACTTTTTATAAAACTGTTCAAACTGGCACTCCCATTCTGTCCCTTCTTTTAAGTGACAGGAACAGCACTTTCCAAAACAGCTACTTAGGCACGCCTGGAGTTCTTCACACGTGCAAGCACTTCAAAATTAACACTTGCAGGCAGAAGTCCAAGACTTCTAGGACACCACAAATCTGGAAGCCTTTTGATCCTCACCTAACTCTGAGGCAAACAGGCAATTAAAGAACAATCAGAGAAGGAGGTTTTCTCCCCACATTGAGGTACACCCTCCCCCTACCACCAAACTGCAAAGAGAGCCTTGGGCTGCAGCTGTCAGACCACAACTGCTGCCCTGCCAAGCCCGGTCTCACCTCCACAGCAAAAACAACTGCAGTCACTGCCTCCTCTGTGACATTGTCCAGCCCGTGCTCGTAGGCAGTCACAATCATCCTTCCTTCTAACTGCCCACGTGTGGGAAGCATCATGGTGTGGGAACACAGCTTCAAATCGTCGTCCTCCTGAGGATCCTTTGCCACAAACTGCTGGGCTCCTGACAGCGGGTTCTGGGGCTGGAACCGGTGCTGTCATGGACACAACGTTAAAGCATAAGATAATATTCATTCAGACCCTTTGGTTCATCAAGGGGACATCCCTTCTCCAGTCAGAAAGCACACAGCTATAAAAATGTACTGCAGAGTGATACTACTTCCCAGAACACCCTCCGAACCCCCACTGATTTGTGACTGAAGAGGTTTCTAAGTCAGTGTTTGTATCCTGTAATTAAACAGACTGTGAACTTGTCCAGCAGCACTCCAAACCACCTAAACTTTTTATATCCTCAACATACTGCAACAAGAAATTCTACAGTGTAAAAACACAAGACATGAACAGGCACCTACCCTAGTCTGCTCTGCACCTCCCATCTGCTAGATTCATTTGACTCTCCTGGAAGTCACAAAAATGTGGTCAGCCACTGTCCTTGTCTCTTTTCATGCTATCCAGGCCGGTAACTGGACTTTCACATCTCTCAGACACCTTCTATCCTGAAGTGTTTTCACCTATTTAGTAATTTCTCGTACAAAAGGGTATATTTTTACATAATAACAATACAGTTTCCATCAAGATTAAAAACCACGATCCTAGATTTGTGTGATTGACTCTTACATCCTCTAAAGCTTTAAATTTAGCCCAATTCCAGTTCTGAAATTCATAATCTAGTTTCCCTATGCACTTTCACTAAGCAGAGCTATGTTACTAAGCAGCCACTGATTCTGAGATGGATTATGACTACTTTTCAGAACTGACTCTGTTATTTAGGGAAAAAACCCACCACAGAACAGGAATTCATACCACAAGGTGGCAACCCCCATTTCCCAGGCCACATGTATTCCAGAATAAATCCCTTGCTGCATTGTGTCTCAAGCTCTGAATGCCTGTGGTGGCTCCTTAGTCAAAAGCAGATGGGAATAATTGATCCTTGAGCCCAGATACGCACTTGGCCTCAACCCTCAAGGGAAAAAGGCTTATCATGCACTCTCCACAACTCCTGTTGCTCTGCTTTCCAAGCTACAATTCCAGTGGGGCTCTGGAATGGAGACTGCAACAAGGGGCACCAGGACAAACCCATACTTTAAATATGAGCAATGAATATACAGCAAAACAGATCTCTCACCTCTTAGTTTCAGGGGAGAAAGGCAGGCTGCTCTAGTCAAAGGACAGTGTGGCATTTAACTCAGAGTGAAAAACCAATCCACCCACTACTGATGTGAAAGCAGGTTTCCCTCCCCATAATTCTGAAGACTTACGCTTTCATTACAGGAAAGCCACATGCCCAAAAGGACCTTCAAATGGTAAGCAACTGTCAAGAGGAATGTGGTCTGGGAGAGCAGAAGGCAACTGGAATGAACCTGTGGCCATTCACAACTGTTATTCTGACCAGTAAGGGAAACATTAGGAAATATCACGGCACTTCCAAGTTCACACCACTTAGGAATTCCACTAGTAACAGACAAGCCTGTTCATCATAACATACACTTAATATAGTAGTTAGTGCCAAGCATTCCTGAACGCGTATAAACACACACTAGAAATCTGCTGTATCATTGGGGTATTGAGTAAATACGTTCCACATCCCTCTGGAACACTAGCCTCTGAAGCACACATACACAGTGCCTAATTATAGTCCCTAGAAAGGCAGTATGTGCCCAACTCACCTCTCTCATAGGAACAGGAGGTTTCATCTGCTCACTTTTCTCCCCTATTCCCACCCCCTTCCTTTTTTTACAACAGCACTGTCATACATCCAACCGCAATCCAGCTGAATAAACTAGCAATAAAAACCTGGGGGTTGGAGTCTTTTCTGCTTGTTCATGTTTTCTGCTTGCCAGAGAGCTGAACCAGATCAGATGTGCTCAGTTATCCAATAAATCTGGCTCAGTAAGAGACAGACAGTCTTCCTTTCAACACACTTTTCATTCAGTTTGAACCACCTTATCAAACGCTGCCTGTTGAAGACAATGCCCCATCCCAAATCTGTCACACCTCCACTCTGGTCCGGCAGCACAGAAACAGCAGAACAGACTGCAAAGTGAACTGCATCTTGTGCATTTCTGCTCCACCCACCACACGACGGCACCTTTGCAAGGCATTTTCCACCCTGAAACAACTCGACCTTCTACAAACATTCCACCCAACAACTATCTTCCAACATTTTGGACAGCAGAGCTAATCACAGAATTCTGCCTGACTGCTTGAATAAATAGGAAATCACTCGCTTTAAGAATTCAGCAGATGAGTAAAGAGAACCACAGGCACTTACATCAAACTTCTGGCGAACTGAAGAAATCTTTTTCTTTCCCTTGGGTTTTCCAGGTTTAGTTGCAGAACCACCTGGCCATGGCAGAGATCCAGCACCTTCTACAAATTGAAAAGAAAAAAAAAATCCACTCTATTGACGATGCTGATTTAGGACCAGGACAAAACTGCCCACACAGAAAAAACCTTAAGATTTGGCCTCTAGCTAAGCCTCAAATCAAAATCAACAGCCAGAAGGAAGGTCTTCTGGGGGGAGAACACTTCTAGCACCACTTCTCTTCAGTTGTCAGCTCTCTGCTAGCTTTGACTCACTCATGACCCATCACTTAGGTAGAAATTTCTGTCCACATACCACACAGAACCCATGTCGGAAGGAGAGGGATAAACACAGCCTCCAAGGAAAGCCAAAAGGAAGGAATAAGCTATTTATTCAATCAGCAAGATAATAAAGAGCTTTCCAGGAGGAGGATTCTCTTCCCACCAGCTCCCGGATCATGTCAGATGTTAACCATCTGGATTGAGCAGGCCAGCTCCCCAGTTCTCTATCTGCTTCAGCAGGCTTTGCCATGGACCCTTATTAATCATCACAGCTGATTGTTCTGTTACACTGAACACCATTACAGGAAGAACTGCACAGGCCAGTGAGCCCAGGAGCAGGATGACAGCAATGTGACCAGTGAGCTTGTGACTGAACAAAACTGGCAAAGAGCTGAAAAAGAGATTACTGTTTAGTACCGATAAATAAATAAATAAATAAATAAATAAATAAATAAATAAATAAATTCGGTCACGTCACCTTGAAGGGACTGTTCCAAAGCCCACCATATGCTGTCTGACAGCTACACCTACAGTAGGCCAAACCACATCCTGATAATCACACAGCTCCTGGCAAGGACAGCCGAGCAAAGTGCCAGCTGACAGAGTCTGTGAGCAATTAATTCCTTCAGGAACACCGGGGTTTAAAGAGAGTGTTGTACTGGATGTGCGTGCACTTGCTGACAGCGAACAAGTGCAACTCAGAGACTGGAGAGCCCTCTCGTGGCTACAGAGGAAGTGTCTGCTTTGTCTCTCCAGTATCCTCCTCCCTTGGTTTTGCACCGCGAGGGAGCACTCTTTTCCTCTGGAGCAGAGCTTGCCCTGTGCCAAGTCCCTGTTTGCCTTCAGGTAGCTTGGACAACTCTGCTCCTCAGTGCTTCAGTCACCTGCGAAGTGGATGCCAGAACTCTGCTGCCAGGCTGTGCTGACAGTTCTGGTTCTTTCCTGCTACCATAGCTCACACCAGCCTGTGTGATTACCCCCAGCTCTCCCAACTATGCCTAATTTGATGTAATCAGGAATTCATAAATACAGTCATACTACAGTGCTGTTTATAAGCAATGAGGTTGGCTAGAAGTCCTTGGCTATGGGGAGCTTCCCACACTCACGGCTGGAGAACAAGCACAGCGTTCTCTACCACGAAAAAAAAAAAATTAACACATGACTTTAGGGATCTGACTAAGCTAGAGCACTCAGGTAAAGTTTTTGAATGGTCAGCTGCTAAGAAGGGATTAGAAACAACCTACACACACAGAGATGGCACATTCTCCCTATACAAAAAAAAGTTTACCAAGAAGTTTAGCTACATCCTATCAGATGGGTAAAAATTACTAGCCTACAAACACTGTTGTCAAAATCCACTGGTCAATCATAAGAAATTAAAGGTTACAAATAAAACCTCTCCAAAAATCATAAAGCTGGTGTTACTACTCATCACCACATCACAGCTGAGGCCCCAATGAGGGACAAGTGAAAGCACCATGGACAATCATCTCAAGGACCACACTTGCCCGTCATCAAGATCTTGGGGCTTAAATCTTATGATTTATCAAAATAATGCTATTGCTCTCAGAAGATGATTTGTTCTTTTCAGGTGAGTTCTTTCTTTCTCCTCTTCTCCTCCATAGCAGCTCAGATCCCTTCCAGCCAGGGGAGATTAGATGTGTTAAGGACAGACACTGAAATTACCTGTCCCATTCCAGAGGTTTCAATAAAAGCACACCTCTAGCTCACAATGTCACCCCACCCCAGACCCTTCCTCCTTGTCAGAAGCCTCACAGCTCCTTCACGGCATCACTTGTGACAGTATTCTCTGCTGTGTGACCAGGGAAAGTGCAACAGATGGAGATGGAAATAGCAAACATCATTTTATCCATCAGCATATTACAGATTAATAGTTGACAGTCATGTCTGAATTTAAAGTAATAAAAAAAAAAAATACAGTAGTTTTTATACTAATTGGCAACTAAATGTTAGGCTTTCACAGCAGATCTGAAAGATGCAACTAGTTGATACTCAACCTGCACATTTAACAAGAATTTAGCCAGGCTAAGTTTAGAGCAATGAGATACAATCTCCTATTTCCCACTATAATGAGCCCAGAGCAGAATTTTTTTGGCTCCTTTTCCAGGTTTTCATATTAGCAAGCCTGACTTGCACTAGATGAAGAAAGCAAAATTTCCCTGTAGCATTCTAAGAAAACCAGTACTTGCCTTCCTGACCACAAATGACAGGCTGGACTGGCTAAGGCATGAAACTTCAGAGATATCAGCAGCTTTTATTTAGCCTTGCAAGCAAAGAAATCAGACCTCAACAAGCCACAGCGATGGCTGCTGCTCTGCCTTCACAGATCAGCAACAGATAAGGATGTGTTTCTAAGAGCTGCCTCATCTGCACAACACCATCACAATGGCAACAGCCAGTCCAGAGCGTGTCAGATTTTCCCAATGCGCTGCACCAGCACGAGAAAAGGACAATGATACAGAGAAAGTCACTACAAAGAAAAGCAGCCCGGCCCAGGCAATGTGCATTTCCCACCCTTGTTCATTTGATCTTCAGCTCTGTGGGGATGGGGGTGGGGGGGGTGGGGGGGGGTGTTTGTCTGTTTTAATCTTGCAAGGACAAGGGTTTGGTTAAATATTCTGCTGACCCTCCTCTGCCAACAACTCACACTCCCATTTTCTTCCTTTTTCTCCCTTTCTAGCTCTCTGGAGAGAAGTAGAAAACCAAGGAACCTGTTCCACCTCACAGCAGAAAGCCCTTCAAGCAAAGTCTGTGAGCAGGCCTGATACAATAAAATGGTCCTGTTATTCCAGCACAAGTTCTAAGTCACTGAACTATCTCCTTTTCGTTGGCTCCAGATTAATGGTAAATAAATTAAATCCTTCCATCATTAACTCAAGCGCTTGCAATTGTCTCAATTTTATTGTTAACATTTAGCTAAGAAAAGAAGTATCAGTTCAAAGCAAGATATGCATTAACTCAAGAAACCTTGTTAACCTGAGTGCTTGCAACTGTGCAACAAACAAGACAAACTTAGTGAGCAAGTCCATGCAACCTCAAGAAAGGATTTGAACTGGAATTCCTCTTGGTGGAAATTTTTTGGGGGAGAAAAGCCCCAATGTGCTGATTCAGGCTGAGATAAAGTTAATTTTTTCCATAGCAGCTTGTATGGGGCTGCGTTTTGGATTTGTGCTGAGAACACTGTTGATAACACAGGGATGTTTTTGTTACTGCTGTGCAGGACTTGCACAGAGCCAAGGTCTGTTGTGCCTCTCACACCACCCCACCAGCCAGGAGGCTGGGGGTGCACAAGAAGTTGGGAAGGGACACAGCCAGGAGAGCTGATCCCAACTGATCCAAGGGATATTCCACTCCATATGGCACCATGCCCAGCATATAAAGCTGGGGGGAGTGGAAGGAAGTGGGGGGACATTCAGAGTGACGGCATTTGTGTTCCCAAGTCACTGATACCTGTGATGGAGCCCAGATGTGCTGGAGATGGGTGAACATCTGCCTGCCCATGGGCAGGGGTGAATGAATTCCATGATTTGCTTTGCTGGCATGCATGGCTTTTGCTTTACCTATTAAACTCCCTTTATCTCAACGAGTTTTCTCGCTTTTACCCTCCCCATTTTCTCCCCAACCCACCAGTGGGAGCGAGAGGCTCTGTGGGGCTGAGATGCTGGGGTTACACCACAACACCCAGATATAAAAGGTCAGAAAAGCACTTCTGAAAATACTGGTACGAGAAGAATACCAAAGAAAACAATTTTCTTTGGTACTGGTATTCCCCCCAATACTGGGGAGTGGGCCACCCACTCAGGCTGGTATAGCCAACTAACATCACCATCAAGGCACTCTAGTTTCGGATAGCATGTTTCTGAGAAATTCCTCTCTTCAGGCACTTTCACAGCTTCTCACCTATGCTACCTATGGCTTGGCGCCACTCCAGCATTTATGGGTGTCATCATAAACGTGGCTGCCAGAGGGAACACCACCACCCATTTTTCAAAAGGGCAGAGGAGTCAAATTTAGGGTAGCTCAGGATCCTGCTGTGTCCTCACTGGAAGCCTGGCAGGAACTTAAAGCAACTGGACATCCTTCACACCAGAAGGGCACTTCCTCTCCACCACCAAGTCCTAAACATCCCGTGCCACACAAGCTGTGGAACTGGGAGTTGAAGTCTGCATGACCACCAGCCAAAGCAGACGAGAAAGGAAAATGCAAAGTGTCCTCAGGATCACATTCACCAAGTGCTCCCCTAAATCCCAGGTGGAACCACTACTAGAAGAGGCAGTAAAACTGGCATCAGGTGGGTTTGTTAGCATGGCTCAACAGACATTATAACTGCTCCCTAAAAATACCTTCCCCAAGGTTTCCTATTCCAAATGCCACAATATCAAGTGTACTTTTAACACTGACTACATGATTATTTCTTTAATACAAAACAGCATTTTAAGGATGGTTCTTTCCCTTTGTCTCTCTCACACGAAGGTGGAAAGTACATGCATCAGCAACCCTTGTGATGGCGTGCCAAGTGCATCAAACACACCTCTTTCAAGCTACTTGTTTCCATGAATCATGACGTAAACACCTTCTACCCAAAAGACATCAGTGGAGATAAAAACCTGTTAGCTTTCCATTCTCATATGGACAAAAAAAAAAAAAAAAATGGAGAGGGAAAAAACAAACAAACCACAACACAAAACCAGCGGGTGTCAGACTGGTATCTAGGGGAAGAAGAAATCTAGACATTAACACCACTTGTACTGCACCTTCCTGGGCTTGCATGTAAAATCCACTGACAGCTGACAGGCGGGGAAAGTTTGCCTGTAATAGATCTACCAGTCAGTGGCCCAGAGAGAGGTGTCTCAGTACAGATTAGGTCCCAAATAGCTGGAAAACGCTGCACTGATCCGAGGAGAGCAAAATAGAGGTTCTAGAAGGGATTGTTAGCTCCAGAGCACTAAACCGTGTCTTTAAGAACACCCACAAACTATTAAACTGACTTATTTCGAGCTGCCTTGTGCAATCTGTGGACACAGAGCCAACCTACTATATATAATGCTATAATGCCAACCAAAGCCTGCCTGAAAGCCCTGGAGGTGACCAGCCCTCAGGAAGGATCCTGGCCAGCCGGCACACCATTACATGCTGTCACCAACCTGCTGAACCAGTACAAAGGGGGTTCTTCAAGGGCTCCTGAAAAGAGAAAGCTGCAATGGGACAAGAGGAAAAGACCTCCTAAAGGCTTGAAGTTAAAAAGGGTCTAGCAGAAAATAATGAGCATCTGGAAGCCACTTGTGGAGCAGCACTGTGCTTTGTGCTGGGGCTCCTACCTTGAACACATTCCTAAAAGGCCTTGAAAAAGGGGACACCTGGGAGAGTTTGCTGACAAATCCTGACCAGAGAGCTGCAAAAGAGCTGCCATGACTAATTGTCTGGATAAAGAAACAAGGGTTATTCAGTACAGTTAAGCACAGAGTATGCACACAGGAATAAACAACCTCAACCTCAGACAATGGGTTCTGACTTGACCACTGCCACTCAGAAATAAGACCTCTGAGTTATGATCTCTACCCCAACACTCACAGCAGCTCAGCACTGACATCAGAGAATGCAAGCACTCTTTCCCTCCCCCTCCTCATTTAACTCAGCTACTTCAATCACTCTCGTGCTTTCTTTCTATAATCCAGCTGCAAGCATTCTAAGACAAAAGCAAGGAGCACCAAGATTTAGACACAAGCCTTCTGATTTACACGAGTGGAGACCCCCAAAGGGAACAGGTCTGGGACTCACAAGGTGTTCGCAAAGTGCAATCAAGAACAGAGGAAGTTTGGAGGTGGGGGAGATTAGCATTTAATTAGTACAGATGGTGCTAATAATTAAGGACCAGCTGTCCATAATTTTTTCCATTTTTCCTTCGTCTAGCTACAACAGGTATCATAGCAACTAGTAATCTCTCTTCTCAAAAAACTCATCTTGAAGGTCTCAGGCCATGAGAGCTGTAACAATTTTCTCTCTGTTACTACACAGTAGTTTCGTATCTTGAATTGCAGTTCAATTGCCCCGCTATCACATCTCTGGGTTGAGAATTCTTTTGAACACCAAACAAAACCTTGCAGCCTTGAGGACAGCCATTCTAGACCCTTACAAAGTTAATATGTTATTCTAGATGCTTACAGAGTTAGAACGTTAACCATCTGCAGAAGGTTGGGTTAATTTGCCATAGCTCAGTCAGGGCTCAGTGTAAGCATTTTTGTATCAGATAAGTACTTTGGAATCGAGATCAGTCACGAATATGCGGCTCTCCAAAACTATATCCCCAGCAATGAGAAGAACAAAGTTCAGAGAGAGGAAGCAGTAAGCAAAGCAGATCAAAGAGAATGCTGCACCTCCCTTTACTCTTCAGTTCACAGCAGACACCCAATCCCGAAATCATACCAGTTTATCTCAGGCAGCCATCCAGCGTCAGCTCTAACCAAGCACACACAGCTTAGTCATGAAAGCACCTCTGCTGAAATCTGCTGGATCACTACTTTGCTACCCTTTTGCCTGTGTGGCAAAAACCCCAGGAATATTAAGGCTCAGAAAATCAGGTTACTCCGTACCATCCCACCAAACACACACAGGGCACACTGAGTGTTTAATGAGGCTTTTCGACACTTACCTGGTGCAGAAACCAGGATCTGGCATCGGGTAAGAATAGCCAGGAGGAAATCGTTGTGGGAGTGGACTGCGTAGAGAGAGACAGCTCATTAGCAGCACATCAGTGCCCAGAGGCACCCCCTCAAAGCCATCCTAAAGTACCTCCCTAAGCTTCTCCACACCTGTGTGTTTTTGAGTTTTTTTCTGCTGGACCCAGAATCTGCTACCAACAAAAATGCTACTGATACTACACACAGCATGGCAACAACTGGGTGGCTTCTCAGTGTTCCACACGCACAAACCCAGTGCTCCAGCACACTGCATGAAACATCTGGTGCGTTCAGCCGGTCAGAGGAGGAGCAGCTGTCCCTCCTGCAATGCAGACACCTGGCTGCAGGGCTGTTGGTTTTGCTGGAAAATCCACCGGGAAGAGCCAGCCCCAGGAAGCTCAAGTCAAGTCAAATAAGTTCTAGATAAAAGGCAGCTTCCTTGCAGAGGGTTACTGAAGCAGAGTAGTTATGCACTAGAAAAAGTGAAGGCAAACTTAACAGGCAGGATCAGAAGTTACAGGATCCTCTTTGGAGGCTGAGCATCCCAAACTCGTACCCTTCCCTGCAGAGAACATGAATGTGGAAGCCAGGACACCCCCCACAATGACTTCAGCAATGCCCCCCCAATGCTTGCAGAACTGTGCATAGGCGAGGATGAAGGAATCTGACCCTTTGGCACTCCCACCTGCTGCCCCTAAAGGCCAGGGAGGACCTGCCAGCTGCAAACTCACCCAGGTGGGATTCCCTGCCACACTTCAGCCACACCACCAGTTTGGTCCCAACCAAAGGGAAAGTACAGAAAGGACTCGGACTCCACAGTGATATTAAAAAGTGGATTTTTAGTTGGTGGAACACCTTTTTTTTACCTTTTCACCATATTTACATAAGGCCAAATTGCCTGTCAGTACCAGGCCACTTCCCCATGCAGGCCAGGGCACCTCCAGCTTTTCAATGCCACTGCCACCGGAGCCCTGGCCATTCCCCTGCCAGCACGTTCCCTATTCGGGAAGCATCGTGCCGCAGGCAGGAGCTCCCCCGGGCCCGGCAGGGAAATAAACACCAGCGGGCTTCTCACCGTTATCCTGCGTGAGGAGCCGGCGCGCTTCCAGGTCAAACTCCTCTTTGCTGATCTTCTGTTTGAACCAGAGCTTCAGGTTGGCCCAGTACCTGGGGAAGAGCAGGGGAATCACACCATCAACTGGCCCGGAAAAGACCACCGACTCCAACCTAGGAGCGAACAGCCGCCACACCTCCCAGAGGACGGCTCCGAGTGCCATTCCTCAAGCACCTCCAGGGAAGGCGCAGGCCCAGGCGGAATAAGCGCTGATCCCAGCCCCGCGAGCGCCGGCGTTCCGCACGGCCGGCAGGGGCCGCGCAGCGCACACCTCCGACCCAGCCCGGCGGGGCCCGCGGCCGCAGCTCCCCCGCAACCCCCCACCGCCGCCCGGGGGGGCACTCACTGCTTCACGTTCTCGCCCAGCGCCTCGCTCAGGCTCTTCTTGGCCGCCTCCAGCTCGCTCACGTAGGTCGCCATGGCCGCCCCGGGCCGTCACGTGCCCGCCGCTCACGTGGCCCGGGGGAGGCGGGGCCCGCGCGCACGCGCAGGGGCGGCCCCGGGAGCGAGCGGAGGGGAGTGGGAATACCGGGAACACCGGCGGGATCCGCAGCGATGCCGGGGCTGCTGCTGGGGGACGAGGCGCCCAACTTCGAGGCGGACACCACGCATGGCCGTATCCGTTTCCACGACTTCCTGGGAGACTCGTGAGCGCCGGGGACGCGGCGGGATCGGGATCGGGAAAGGGCGGTGGGTGGGAGCCCCGCGCAGCTCTGGGCAGCGGCGCGGGGGGTTCCTTCCAGACGGGGGGAATTCCGCGCGTGGAATTCCGTGCGCGTGGGCCCGGCCCGGGGCGGCACAGTTCCGTGGGCTCGTTCCAAAAATGTGGTTTTTTTTTTTCCTCTCGCGGAGCCGCAGCCCCGGCCCGGGGAGCTCGCCGTGGGTATCCCGGCGAGGGGCACGGGGGCTCCTGCGGCACCGTGTCCCGCAAAGCCTGTTGCTCCATTTTTTGACACAGGCACAGAGTGTTTGGGACTCACTCCCGGCAACGCTTGGCAGGCTTGAATCAGCGTTCTGAGTCCCCTTCTTGTCGGCATTGTGAGCTTGGGTAAATGGGAAAAAAAGGAACCCTCTGAGCGGCGGGGCTTCCAAGACTGGCTGTTCCAGCCTGGTCACCCACGTGGCACCTTTCTCGAACAGCTTCCCCTTGATTGTTTGCTGCTATTTATTCAAGGAGTGTACTTATTGTGTAGGAAGACTCGTGGCAGGGTGGCTGCCCCATAACTTCCTGGTGATCCATGGCTCTGGCAGAGTTGCAGGTGCCTCACTTGACCGTTCCAGTGCCATTCCCAAATCTGTAAGACAGGGCATTCCTTCCCCAGCTGCTGTGGTGAGTGGCTGTGTTCACTGAACGCTGGGGGCCAGGTGAAGCACAGGGCAGTGAGATCCGTGAGTTTTGAGCTGAGAAATAGTGCAACAAGTCCCTGGCAGGGAATTTGAAGTGCTGGGGGTGGCTTTGCATTAGTCTCTGGAAAGTCCTGACAGCTGGGAGCCTTTTTGGTACAGCCCATCTTGCTGCCAGGCTCCACTGCTGCCTTTCTCTGTGTACTGGTTACCTTACTATAAAGTGTAAGACTGCTATCTGCCTGCTCTAAACACCCAAAATCCACTGATAGCAAGCACTGGGCAAAAGCAAGGTGGCACTATCATTGTTACAGTAGCCACAATGTGATGTTGACTTTCTGGCATCCCCTGCTAGTTGATTAATTCCTATTTTTCAATTAAGTGCATTTAGCAGCTCACAGCAGTGGTTGGTTTAAGGTTCTGTGTTATCACATTCTTTTGAGTTGCGTGACATACCTGAGTGGATCTCCTCACAGTGCTGGATGAGGTGTACAGGGTACTGACCAGCCTTGTGAATCAGTGATCATCTCTGCAATAGCGTGGCTGGCAGGTTGGCATCTACATCTCCTGTCACGTGTGGTCTCTGGAGCGCAGGATACACTTGGCATGGTGTCCACCTCCACACCAAGAACCATGAGCTCTTCCAGCATACCCTGTGGGATCCTGGGAGGAGAGGAGCAGAGTGCAGTGTGTTTCTCAGAGCATGATGAGCAGAGCTTATCTCATGAAGGCTTCTAGTGACAGGGAAGGCAAAGTTTCCAGGACAGGATTTCCACTCACCACGGAGACGGGCTGTTCCTGCGTTGGTCTCTGTGCCGTGCAGTCTGTACAGGTCTTTGTCTGTGGCACAAACCAAACCAACATCTCACCTTAACACCAGCTCCTGCTCTCTCCTTCCAGATGGGGCATCCTCTTCTCCCACCCGCGGGACTTCACCCCCGTGTGCACCACAGAGCTGGGCCGGGCGGCCAAGCTGGCGGCCGAGTTCAGCAAGCGCAACGTGAAGATGATCGCGCTCTCCATCGACAGCGTCCAAGACCACCTCTCCTGGTGCAAGGTACAGGGCTGGGGGGGAGTGCAGGGGGAGCTGGCCCTGCTGCCTTGCTCCAGAGGCCAGAGGAGATGCCCACACAGAACACTGCACAGGCTTGGAGCTATTTAAACTCAGAACAGGAAGGTCTTCTCCCTCTTCATGGAGCACTCCAAAGTCCAGGGCACTCTATGTCCCACCAGTGCTGAAAAGGGTTAAAACGTGTGAAGGTGATGTCAAAACCTGAGAGGAAGGCAACCAATCCACAGACCCTCAAAAAGTTCTGTAATAAAACAGGAAGGGAAAAGAGGCATCAGAAGTGAAGAGACGGTCTTCAAAGGATGCGATTCATACTTAGGGAGGGAAAATAAAACAGAGAGCAAGTGTGACGTGTTAGACATAAAACCACAAATAGGAGATTGTTAAATGTAAAACCGTCACAAGGGAGTGTAAAGAAAGATGGGAACAGAATAACTTGCTGAAGGAACTTCAAAGGAACTAACAAAAAACTTCAGAGGCAGCCTCAGCAATGGTGTGCTGCCAGGGGGAATGACCCCAGGAATCAGGGGTGCTTAGGCTGTAAAATAAGTACTTCAGACAGATATAGTCAGTGTAAAAATCCCTGCGTGAATTACCTGCTACATTCTTAGCTCTTAAAATTGGGAATGTTCTCACACTTCTTCCAGGGGTGAGACGTGCATGCAATAAGACATGCAAAAGGTGAGAAATTTCCACACTCAGACATTGTTTCACAACTGACTGGCTTTACAAATTACCTAATTTCCTTATTGCTTAAATTGACCTTCGTACCTGAGTGGTTCATGGCCAGTTACCCATCGAGCCTCAGAAGGGCACGGGAAAAACGGTGTACAAATCCCACACCAGTAAATGAGATTTCTGTGCTGGTCAAACTGGATGAAACCAGCAGTCAAATTAGCAAATAACATCTCATTAAATATAATAGAAAGTTTGGGTTGCGCTTTCGCAAGGGAGTCTCATCTCTTGACTGGCTCAATCCCTTTGAATTAATGTATTGCTGACTTCTACAAAGTCCAAGAAGCTTTCCAATTAATTCAGCTTTGTGAAGGGCAGACTCTTTCCTGCAGGAGACAGGAGGAAGCAGTAAGTTGTGTCAAGGGAGGGAAGTGCTGAGCTCCCTGCAGGGCCTGCAGGGCTCTCTGGGGTTCAGCATACTCAGGTGATCTGGAAAAGACATGAACAACAAGCTGACTTTGCTGATGGTGTGGAATTATTCAGCACAACCTCAGGTAAAACCTGGAGAAGTTGCAGAACAGCTTCTTAGTGGTTGATGGGAGGCGGAGTAAGGAAACCTACCAAGACAACCACAGAGAAAGGCAAAGGGCAGTGACCCAAGCTGTGGTGAGCTTTCTGTCAAGCTGGGAGAAGCCTTGTAGACAGAGGCTTGGAAGTGTCAGCTCAGTACCTGTCAAGAAGAAACATATGAAAGTCCTCCAGAGCAAAAGATCCAATCGATGAGGACAAATCCGTAGTAGATTGGAGACTTCCATCCAGCCTGTGTTTAAAATCACCCATCTCACAAACTGCAGTGGAACAAGAAAAGGTGCAGAGGGGAACAAACCTGCCTGCAATTAGAACTTCAGATAATGTGGAAGACCAAAGAGCTGAACTAGAAGGGCTGGTGTTAGGGTCTGCTGCAGGTCTGGGACCAGGGACAGTGCCCCAAAGGTTCTCCTGCCCAGCCACGGGGTGGGGGGAAAAAAAGGCATACCAGGCCTTGGCAGAAGCTGGCTGTATTAACAAAAACAACAAAGTCTTCATTAAATGTTTGATTAAGACCTACAAACTGTAATTTCCTTCACTAGGAGCAAGCACAACTTTGGGGAGACCTCTCTGTGCAACACTCCTTTACATACCTATGCTTTCTCTTTGGATGAAGCTGTTTTTATCTGGAGCCCAGCCTGTGAGGAGCAAGTGAGCAGGAGGGGTGGCTGAAATCTTACACAAAACAATAAAGAAGCTTCTGCTTGCTTTGCTGCCAAATTTCAGTGGGCAGATGGGGCCTGCAAGGGTGGAACCAGAGTATAGCCAGTAATCCTCATGTCAGTTTGCTCAGCTCTGCTTTCCCAGCCAAAAATGTCACTGCTGTTCTTAGCCATCCCAGGCCAAGATCCAGAGGCTTGCTCCAGGACTCAGAGCAAGGCTGTAGCTCAGCCAGGGATTGATCCCACTTTCCTACCTCCCAGGTTGGTGTGCTGCTTCTCTAAGGGCTGGCTGAATGCACAAGCTTCTTAAGCAGGGCTCGTTGGCATGTGCTGTCCATGTCAGAGGAAGTTTCAGTGCTCTCTTTGGCCACTGATACCTTTACCTTAGTGAGTCAGGGGTGAGTAAAGCACTCCAGTGATGTCTGGTTTCAGCTTGGACTCTGGAAAATAAAATAATTCATAGGGAAGTGAGTTGTGGGTGTCTCATTGTAAAATAGGGTATGGTTTGTGAGGCTGTTTTGTAGAGCTCCCCAGGTCATGAAATAACATGCATTTTGGAATGAGTTACAGTCCATAGGATTCAGATATTACTTCTCAGAAGCTCTCTTCATCCTCCAGCCTCTGCTCTGAAGAGGAAGGGGGTGGTTGCATGACATTTACTGCCCTCCATCCTCAGCCTCCTGTGCCTCTGTGGGGCATTCAGCATTTTTCCTCACCTGAACTCTCCAGCCTTGCTTTCCTTTCCCACTCTGCTCTGATAAGGCAGGTCTGGCAGGAGAACAGAACAGATTCCTTCCTTCCTTCCTTCCACGGCAGGCTTGACCACAGCCCAGCTGAGATAAAGGGCCCCTTTTTGCAGTGCAGTGTTGACTCAGAAAGGCCTGGGGAGAAAATGTGCAGAGAGAAAAGTTGGAAAGGAAACATCTTGTCACGTGTGCACCACTTGACCTGCTTGCAGCATCCTGAGCAGCCAGGTCAGGGTTACAGCCTCTCATGTGGGTGTTGGAGTTAGTTCTGTCCCTGTGTTGCATGAAGAGGGTGGAAGGAACAGGCTGCTCTGTTCTGGGGCAGAAGCCTTGAGTTAAACTTGCTTTGATGCTGGGAGCTGCTCTGCTTGTGCTACCTCGAGCAGGCTCCTCCCAGCACTGCTGAGGCTCAGTACGACCTGAGAAGGTGCTACTGCAAACTCCAGGGATAGCTTGAATGCTTTGGCCGAGTCCAGACCAGATTTGGAGATGCTCAAAATACAGTTTCCCTGTGAAACAGGTCAAGTTTGGGCTAGCACAGGGAGTAACCTCATGAGCCATGGTCACAAGAGCCTGTAGGGCTGTTGAAGGGAATGGTTTTCTCTTCTGTCCCTGATGTGGTTCAGAAGGGAGTGTGCAGTGTCCAAGCACCTGCACTCAGACATCCACTCTTGTTTTCAAAAGCCTTTAGTTAAGTAAGTTGGGAGTGACTCACTTAGTGGAGCTGGTCCCTTGCACAAGACCTACGAAATGTTGGACACTTGACCTTTGTTAGCTGTAGAGTTGCAGGTTTGCTCTGCTGCTGTAGAAACTGTTCCTTAAATGCACAGTTCAGTTCAGGTGTGGCACCAACACATGTGCCAGTAGTGCTAGATCGTGCACTGAGAGAGAGTTGGAAGAGGGACACCTGTTCTCAGGGAAAGGTGGTTAAATCCCCCTGAGTCACTTACATCAGCAAGACTTCCCTGTTGCTCCATACCCACAGCCTGGGAAAAGCAGCTGGTCCACAGGCAGCTCAGCCAACGGGGTGTGAGCACAGACAGCCCAAGAACTAACCTGTAAGAGCACAGCACTGTCCGGCCTGACACGAGAGTTTCTGGTTTGTCACCTGGTTTCTGGAAATGGAGAAATCCCACGGAAGGCCACGAGTCCCTGGCTGTGCTGTCCCATCCTGAGACTTTGGGGCCGCTCAAACCACGAGCTCCTGCAGAGCAGCTGCTGAACATGTTTACATCTGGTGCCCGCGGCCGGGAGCATGAGCGTGCCGATGGTTTTGTCTCTGCAGGACATCAACGCCTACAACGGGGAACAGCCCATGGAGAAACTGCCCTTCCCCATCATCGCTGACAAGAACCGGGAGCTGGCTGTCCAGCTGGGCATGCTGGACCCGGACGAGCGGGACAAGGATGGCATGCCCCTGACTGCCCGTGTGGTGAGTGCCCGGCCCCGAAGCACCTCTGCCTGCCCTCCTGCCCTGTGTCCCTGGGGCTATGCTTGAAGATGGGGGCAGCTTACCCAGATGGATGTGGCTGTCTCCAGGAGCTGGGTTGACTTTCTTGGTCCAGAACCATGAGGAAGAGGAGGCGCAGCGCTGGTCTGCTGGCAGCAGCTCCACCTGGCTGTTGCCACCCACTCATCCTGGTTGTGCCTGTCCTGACCTAAATTTTGTTAGTGCTTGATCTGCTGGACTTCCCCCTCCTGTGCTTGCATTAGAAGGGCACAGGTCAAGGGGAGGAAACATTTCAGGTAGCAAAACGAAAAAGCTGGCATTGGAAACACAACTTCCCAGAGCAAAAATGTATTCCTTGGGTATCAGTTGTTCTCTAGGAGATCCCCACCATGGCATCTTCCTTGTCCCAACACCTGTGATCAAGCAGGCCACCTCCCACCTCTGCAGGGCTGAGCAGATCTAGCAGAGCAGTCAGACAAACATCTGCCCAGCCCCTGACTTTGTCTCCCTGTGCTCAGGTATTCATTTTTGGTCCGGATAAGAAGCTGAAACTCTCTATCCTGTACCCAGCCACCACCGGGAGAAACTTTGATGAGATCCTGAGAGTAGTGGACTCTCTCCAGCTGACGGCCTATAAGAAAGTTGCTACTCCTGTGGACTGGAAGGTGAGGAGGGGAGCAGAGCTCACAGCCAGGAAATGTGGGAGACCCATGGGGTGGGGAAAGCAGCAGGTGGAGGATGCCTTGCCTCTTAAAACTCCTGTCTCTTACAGCCTAACTCCCAGTGGTTTGTGCCAGCTCATCCACCAGCCCCCCTCCCAGGGAAGCACACCTTTACACAGGGCTTGGATCACCAAGGGGGAGCCAGCCTAAGTAATAGGAGTGGATGAGCAGACTTGGGCAAGCTGTGCTCCCTCCTGCATCACAGAAATGCCTAAATTCCCCTCTTGTTACTCCCTGTTCTCATGGGAGTGGTTTGGGGAAGAGCTGGGCTGTGGGATCCCCTTGGCAGGGCTGGCAGATGGCACAACTCTCCCTTTGGACATCACCCATGTCTCCTGGTGTAGCTCCCACTCACCCCCTCACTGCCGGCTCCAGGTGGATCTGCCTGGACATGCCAGGGGTGCTGGGGCCGAGTGTTCCCAGGGAGACAGTGCCACCTGCACCCAAAGCCTGCCAGCTCCTCTGCTGCTCTCACAGTTCCCATTTGCTCCCCAGCCCGGTGACAGCGTCATGGTTGTGCCCACCTTACCTGATGAGGAAGCCAAGAAGCTCTTTCCCAAAGGAGTCTTCACGAAGGACCTCCCATCAGGCAAGAAGTACCTGCGTTACACCCCGCAACCGGAGTGAGGTCTGTCCATCCATCCCGCCGGGCTGCACGCCCCTGGAGCCTTCCCCGTGCCCAGCTCCTGCCCCTCTGGCACCACACGATCAAGCACTCTTGTACCATCACACTTATAGTACACACAGTACAAAATCCTCCCCGTCCCGTTCATCCCCCACTTGCCCTCAAAACTAAACCTCTGGGTGTTTTCTTGCCTTGAATCAGCCCCACAAGGAAGGTGAGCAGACCAGTGAGGGGTCCAGGGCTCGTGCTGTGGAGTCTCTCCTGTTTGGTACCAGCCAAGGTTTTTCCAGAGGCATGGTGAGAAGTGTGGTGTCAGCAGCCAGGCCCCAAAGGGGCATCCTGCTGGGACAGGCAGGTCTGTGGGCTCCAAACTGCTGCGTGCCTTTCGAAGCAGCTGTCACTAACACGTTAACACCTTTGGTCCCATGAGTAAGGGAGGAGCTGCAGAGCCAGATCTCTCACTTCTTACTGCTTTATCATCTCTTGCTGGAGGTTGATTGTTTTCGGGTTTAATGGAGGAGGGAATCAAGCAAATAAACTGACCTTCAGTACTACCTGCAGCGTCCCTTGTCTGTTTCTGCTGGGCCCCACAGCATCCTGCACAGTTTACTTTGTTTCCTGCGGCCGTGCAGCTGGGATGGGTGCCCACGCTCCTGGGTGGGTGGCAACAGCACAGACTTCCCTTGTTCTTGCTCTGTAAGGAAGGCATTTTGGAAAGAGGTTGTCCCAGGGCACACAGTCTCGCCCAAGGCAGTTGTGCTCTCCCTCTTCACAGCAGAGTCTTGGCAGTGGAAGGAGATAAATGCTCAGGGAACATGCCTCAGCCTGGCCTGCTCTTAGTACTGCGGGGCGGGGAGGGTCCTGCTCTTCTTCCCAGAGCTCGGCACAAACCATGCAAACTCCTGCCTGCTCTCCCTCACCTACACCTCAGGGATTTGTCAAGAGATGAGTGATGTTTTAATATAACACTAGGAAAGAAACCTGCTCACCGAATAGCTCACAGGCCGGCTGCCAGCACCCCTCAGTGCCCAGCACAACCAGCAACACTTAAAATGAGCAGCTCTAAGGAAATCAACTGGCTTGGGGCACAAACATACCCCCCCCCCCCCCAGCATGTGGGGAATAGCAGGGTTGATGCTCGTGGTAAGCAATGTGCTGGATGCAATGAGATACCCTCCAGCATCCTGTGGATCCTAATCCTGCAGCAGCATCCAGATCCCTCTTTCATTACCTCTCCCCTCCCAATAAAAAAAAAAAAAAAAGAAAAAAGAGTTATATTAATTTTCAATTGCCCTCAGGAACTATGAAGTGAATATTGGTGTATTTCCCCAAATGGCCTTTAAATGAACCTTGGATATGAAACTGTATTATTCCTATGTATTATTTTTACTAGAAGATAGAAACAGCTGGTCTCTGGGCTGACTTTTGTTCTTGCTCTTCCACTCTACATGAAGTGGGAGGGGGAATCTGCGATTTCAGAGGGGAAACATCTCTTCTCTGTGCAGTTTTTCAGCTTTATCAAACTTGGCAGCTTCCCTAGTTCCCCACGGCTGGGCTGCGCAAATTCCTGAGTTTCTTGCTGTTCCCTCAGCACACAGCCCTCGCCTTGATCTGGCTTCCTAAGGGAAAAAGGGATGTCTGCCCGCCCCCATTCCCCCCCACCCCGAGCTTTCCAACCAACTGCTCCGTTTTCTGGAAGCTTGAGGACACAGCCCCATGGCAAGCTTTGTGCAAACAGCCTGTCCTGAGCAACCCTAGAGAAGGGGCACTGCAGGGCCAGCACAACTTCTCTGGGACACCAGACAAGCCACCTGCAAGTAGGGAGAAGGGGGGAACAAAGCCTGTCACAGGGCCCAAGGCCTTAAAGCCAGCAGGGAGCAGCCACTGGTCCCACTTACTAGGCAAGCAGGGGCTGATGATCGAAAGCCCAGGAATTCCTGCCCACTCCCTGGTGCTGCTGTGGCCCCAGAGGTACAAACCAGCCAGATGGACTCAAGCAAACACAGGGTTTGGTTCCAGTACAGCTCGAGTGGTTTTCTTTTAATCCCAGAGAAGTGAAATGCAACATTTGTTCGAGTTGGTAATAACATCCAGAGACAGAAGTCCAAGCCAAGTAAAGTCATTTACCAGTCCAAGACTCGGTAAAGTCATTTATGTTTAAGGCACTCTGCAAAACCAGCTTTCCTCTCCTTCCGATTTTCCCCACACGGCAGCAGAATACCTGGTTTGGTCTGTTCTCCATAGTGACATTCATGTGTCCCGGCTCTTCTCACCATCTCCAGGAACTGGCAACAGCAAATCCAGCGGGAGCCGAACAGAGAAACGCCAGGAGGCCGGGCCAATAGATATGGACGGGCACGGGAGGGAGCGCGGGGGCTCCGAGCTTCTGCAGGAAGGGGACAAGCACCGGGTGCCCTCCCTGCAGGCACCGGTGTGATTCCTCTTCCTTTCTCCCCCTCTGGGCTGCAAAAGGGGATGGGAGCACAAGGCCCACAAACATCCCACCCTAGCAGCGCTCCCGAACACGCGGCAGCACCCCAAAACGCGGGGGGCTGGGTGGGGGGAGACCCAGCTGCCCCCACTGTGCAGCAAAAATGACGCCCCCCCCCCAACTTCCAGTTGTCAATAAGTACCAATAAATAACTTAAATAAATAAATAGCTAAATAGCTAAATAAATAAATAAATAAATAAATAAATAAATAAATGACCCGAGGACACAAAGGAGGGAAAGGGGCACCCCAAGGCTCAGGGCAATAGGAGTGTGAGGGTGGGCATTTCCATGACCTGCCCCTCCCTGAGATAATGGGGTGCTGGTGCCAGAGGGGGAGGCGCATGGAAGGCATCCCATGGGGTGGTCAAACACAAGCCCAGGAGTCCAGGTGCTCATCCAGCCAAGGGATGTGAGCCAAACCCGGACTCACACACGGGAGCTCCCACCTAGCACCTCCCTCCCCTTCGTCTGAGCCCCAAGAGCCCCACACCCGGGGCTCCAGTGCTCAGGGCTCACCCAGCACCTCCACCCAAGTGTGAGCACGCACCGTTTGCCAACATGCAAAATGCCTGCACATTTCTGCAAACGCTGTTTGCCAGATCTTTTTGCAAACAATTTTTGCAAACCTTTTTTTTTTTCCTCCCTTCTTTTTTTGATGAAGAAATGCCCACGAAGACAACCCACGCATCAAACTGAGTTAAGTGCATCAAATCCAGCCGTCAGAGAAGGAACAGGCACAGAAACCTGGCAGAAGCCTGGAGAGGTGAACAGAGGCATGGCCCCAGGGCTCAGCCAGAACCTGCCTGCAGGCTGGGGCAGCCCTGGGAGCTCAGGCACACAGCTACATAGAGGCACCGAGCCTGACACTGGCACCAAGCACCTCCCTGGGGACATTGCAGACATTCATGGTCAGAAACTCAGTCACTGCTGAATTCAGCTGCAGACAATGTGCCACGGCTCGGGACAGCCAGTACATCCCAAAAGATGGAAATTAATTCAACAGCATCTCTGCATCTGCATCCCCACTCTCCCAAGCAACTGGAACCACGGCAGTGTCACAGCTGCTCCATGAGCTGACAGGCTGCATGCAGCCCTGGCTCTTCCCCGCCAGTTTTGGGGAGCTGGCTCGCACAGCCTCTCAGGATGCAGCATCCTCTCCCAGTAGGAAGCCCATCTTGGGACTACCCATTTATTGGGGAACTCCTTCCTCTGGCTTTTTCGCTCTGATGCTGCCAGAGGCATTTCTGTGCCCCTGGGTCAAAAGCATACACCTGCCTTACTTCAAACCAAAAGGTACTTACCCCTCCTCTTCAAATCCTTAAGGAAAATAGTATTTCAAGCTTCTAACCCCTCTCCACACACACCTTTTGAGAAACAAAACATCAGTCACGGCAAAAGCTGTCATCAGTCCCACACCAGGACAAAACCACAGGCAGAGTCTCACAGGAGCAGGACATCCTCTCCTGCCAGCAAGCTCCCTGTGGAAGTTTGCTCCAGAAAACACAGCAAGCCAAAGCTCAGAGTCCCCTCTCCCTCCAAAGCTTTCCCACAGCAAGGCTTGTAGCCCCCCACAAAACCCCGACGTAGGCACCAAAAGCAGCAGGTTCCCAGTCTGCTGCGAGGCTGGGCGGGAGCAGCAGGATGGCGGGCCCGGCACAGGGAAGTGTGTGTCAAGGCGTCAGAATGCAGCACTCCCAAAGGAAACAATAAATAAAGAATTGAACCAGCAGCAAATACTACTGAGGGTAATAAATAGCACAGGGATTTCACAGGGATTTTTGGTCTAAGATGCCTGGGGAGCCCCTTTGCTGGCGGGACCCTGGGGTGCACATCCCACCCTGGGAAAGCAGGAGATTCAGCAGCTTTGTGGGAGCGATGCCATGGGGATGTGCAGGCACACCACAGGGAGATGAGCAGTGCTGGGCTGGGCATCTCAGTACCAGGCTGGGGGCAGCACTGCTAACACCTCAGGAAAGGCTTTGCATGGAAGCGTCACACGGCAATCATCCCAGGCTCTTCTGGCAGCGGAAAAACAGATGGGACCCTCCCAGCAGGAATGACCTGCATCCCTAGGGCAGCACAAACCTCCCGCGATGTGAAGGTAGGGTTGTGAGCTGGAGGAGCCAGTGGGCTCATGCCAGGACAGAGAGAGCAGAGAAAGCAGCAAAAGCTGTAACTGCCTGCCCAGGAGTGATGGGGCACCAGGAGCAGCAGCAGCACAGCTGCAACTCCAGGCTGAGATCCTGGGAATGGCCAGTTGCATCCCACAGCACCCTGCTGCCCCATGGACCAGCCAGTGCCAGCCATCCAGGCAGCAAGGGGCAAGGAGAATGGCAAATAAACATCCCTCGTTGCCCCAAAGCACCTTTAGCACCAAGAGGCAGCCCTGAGGCAGCACATTCACCTCCTCCTTCCCAGGCAAAACTAGGCCTGCCCTGCACAGCCTCTACTTACACCCCTGCCTTCCACCCACGGAAAGGAGAGCCTGAGGAGTCACCACAAGGCGTGCCAGCCCCTCCACTGGTGTCCCTGCCAGTAGCCAGCCTCCTCCGCGGGTGGCTGATGAAAAGCAGGATCTCCACATGAGTCAGCATTTGTGTGGAAAATGAGAAAGCACCCAACTTCTAGCAAGGGACTTGGGTCTCCAGTAAAGCAAGTGGGTCCCAGGGTACTTCCTAGCTGGTTTGGGTACCCCCCCCACACACAGTCAGTGAGCACCTGGGCCGGGTGAATGGCCACTGCTCCCCATTTCTCACTCTGCTGAGAGTCGGTTTTGCTTCCATAAGAGACAGGTCAGTGGGACTGGGGAGGGGAGATTGAGGAACTGCAAAGACTTAGTGCACCTTAAAACAAAAGGACATCTAACCTGCCCTTAGATCTCACTTCAAGACGGAAAAGAGCTATGGCATCTCCTACACTCACAACTACTCCAAACACACCCAGATGCATGCAAAACATGTCCCACTTCCCCTTGGCTGCAGAAACCCCCTCCCAGCCAGGGGCACCAGCCAGTGCCGGGCTCTGGCTCAGGACCCTGGCACTGCCTGTTCCCACCCCACTCCCGGGCCCTCCCGCCCAGCCTCAGCAGGCAGGGCAAGGGGTTAATTACCAATCTGAAATGCATAGGTAGGGACACCAGGGGGACACCGGCACCCCAGCAGGAAGGGGCACTGCAGGAGCCCTTCGCATCCAGCAGGCACGGTCTCCACTTCTACCTCCAGCTGGGTGGAAAGCAGCATTCGCCATGGGCACGGTTCAATCACACCCATGGCTTCTTGCACTGCCCTACGAGGAAAGACAAGTCATTTAGGCCAGACAAGCCTCTGTGCCAGCCACATGCCCCTGCAAGCACTCAATTCCACTTCCTGGGAAATCCTACAGCCGGGCCCACCCTCTTCTGTGCCCTCGTGCCAGCCAGGCTCTATTTCTGACTCAGGAGGAGCCACGTTTCCAACCACAACGACAAAGGCAGGAGAACCCAAGAGGTCTGCTTTGGCTCAGAAACCCTGTTCGTTTGCAGCAGGCTGAGAGCACCCAGGTCCTCACGTGCGTGCCTGGCACTGCTCTACTTGGGAGGTATCACGACTATAGGCTGCCCTCGCTTGGGTCTCCACATGAGGACTTGGGCGTCGTTGGCGTTGGGCTTCACTAGTGCATTTGGTGGGATGGGCTCCATCCTGCTGAGGATCCGGGGTTGCTCCTGCTGAGTCCTTCCCACCAGCCGTGCCCGCTGCCCCAGCAGCTGCATGGGATCAACCTCAATGTCCACTCGCATCCTCCACTTTATAGTCTGCAAGATGATCTTCTCCTTGGTGGTGGTGTTCATGGCCACCAGCCACGTGGTAAAGCTCTGGTCCCTCTTAATCCTGGTCAGCAGCGGCACGTTACTGTTGCTCACGGGGACAGCCCACGTCACGCTGGGGTAGAAATTGTCATTCATGCTCACCGAGAACCTGGAGATCTTGTTCGTGGGCCCGACCAGGGTCACGGTTTCTGTGGTGTTTCCATACCAGGGGTAGCTCACCCCATCCGAATCGCTGATGGCTTTTACTCTTCCTTCTCGCAGGTCGGGCAGCTCCCAGCTTGAGCTAAGTGAATGGGAAGAGAAAGGCCAGGTTAGCAGGGAAATGGCACCAATGGCACTTGGTGAGGGACGGGAAGGCCAGCAGCATGGGGACCCTCTCCCTGCCTGCAGCAAGCTCTCAGGACCAACATGAAGAACAAATTCAGCCTTGGTTCCTTTGCTGAGATTCACACGTCCAGCTGAAGCCTTTGCTCTGCCAACACAGCGTTATTTTAATTAACCTGCAATAAAACTGACTGGGCCAAAACTCATTGCCGAGTCTCTCTGAGGTCACTCTCTCCTTAATCAGCTCCTGTGCTGGAGAACAGCCCTCCTCATCCACCAACTGCAGCACCATGATCACTGCACTGGCCCAGCCCATCAGCCGCCCCCTATACGGTCCCACGATAAACCTGTAATTTTTATGCCTGTAAATACAGGCACCTGCACAGAGACACATACAACAATTAAATCCCACAATTATACCTGCCACTGGTGCCATGGAACTTCTGCAATATGGCTGAGGGGGGGCGGAATTCCAGCCCAAATCTTTGCTGATGTACTCATTACCAACACCTGTGGCTACAGCAAGGGAGACAATCCCCACAAGACAATTACAGGCCAGGAGCTTTGGTGAAATCTCCTGCCAAGTCCGAGATCTGGCTTCAAACACACGTCACCCCTCTCCAAAGGCAAGAGAACACAGCGACAGAGCCAATTGCTTTGCCCCTTGGTGTCCCCTCAGGTCAGTACACACTCATCCTTGAGAAAAGTTGTTTTCCAAGCAGCCACTTCAGCCAAGCACCGCAACGCTTCCCGCTTCTAACACAAGCCAGGGAGGCAACTCCCCCAGCGCTGCCCGCACTCACAACCTGGCCCCAGAGGGGTAGCGGTATTCGGGGGGAGACAGCGGCCACAGAGCCCCCAGGTGGACGAGCTCCAGGCCACGGGGATGGTGCAGGACACGCTGTGGCACACGAGGAGCAGGAACTGTGGGGGCAGGGACGGTGCTCGGAGCGGGTGCCGGGGTGAGGGCGGCGCCCGTGTGAGGCTGTGGATGCTGAGGCGGGGTAGGGGGGCAGCTCCCAGTGCCTGAGGGGCAGCACACGGGCTCTGGGGTGGCAGCAGCCGGTGCCAGGGGCGCAGCACATGGTGTCAGGGGGTACAGTACCCGGTGCCGAGGGGGCAGCACACGGTGCCCGCAGGCGAGCCGGGGTGCCTTGTGTGCCAGGGTGCCCACGCGATGCCCAGCCCGGTGCCCCCGCTCCGCTGCCGTGCCCGGCCCCGTCCCCCCGCACCCCCCGCGCTCACACGCCGAGGTCGCTGTAGGTGTTGTAGAACTCCATGTGGTTGCAGGCCTGGATCCAGCCCACCACCCAGGTGTGGCGCCGGGCGATGGGCGGCATGAGCACGCGTGCGGAGGCGCGGAAGTAGGGCGTGCGGTACCGCAGCACCACCGGCGAGCTCTCCTCGATGGCCGTGGCCGCCGGCTCGATGGTGGCCGACACGTCCGAGACCACGATCTGCTCCCGGCGCACCCGCGCCTTGCAGGCCACGCTCTGCAGGCACCCCATGGCCGCCGCGGGGCCGCCGTCACCGCGGGGCCGGGGGGGCGGCCGGGGTCGGTGCCCGCCCGCCGCGCATCGCCGCGCTGCCCGCACCGGCGCCGGCAGGGCGAAGGCGCCGCCGCCGCGCCTCTTACGGCCCCCGCCAGCCGCCGTACGCCGGGAGCTCCACGTGCGTCACGGGCGGAGCAGGAAGCGGAAGCGGCGGCGGGGCCGGTACCGGGGCGGGAGGGAGGGAGGCAGGCACCGCCGCGTCCTTGGGGCGCGCCGGGAGCGGCGAGAGGGGACAGCGAAGCGGCCCCGGGCGGGGGGGACATGCGGGCCCGGCAGCCGGGGGCCGGCGCCCGCCGCGATGCCGAGCCCCCGGAGCAGCCGCGAGCGCCGCGCGGGTGGCAGCGGCGGCCGGCTGGAGTTCCTGTCGCTGAGCCAGCGCGGCCCCGCCGCCCCCGACAGCCCGTCCCGCCGCAGGGAGCCCCCGGCGGCCGCGCCGCTGCCCGAGGAGGACTGCATGAAGCTGAACCCGTCCTTCGTGGGCATCGCGCTCAGCTCCCTGCTCGCCATCGACCTATGGGCCTCCAAGCGCCTGGGCGTGTGCGCCGGGGAGGGCTCGGCCTGGGGCAGCGCCCGCCCGCTCATGAAGGTCATCGAGGTGTCGGGGCACGGCATCCCCTGGCTGCTCGGCACCTTCTACGGGCTCTGCCAGAGTGACAGCTCGGCCGCCAGGGAGGTGCTGCTTAATCTGCTCTTCGGTGAGGCGCGGGGCTCGCCTGGGGCCGAGGGAGCCGAGCGGGGATGGGGGGACACAGAGGATGGGGCAGAGCTAGTGAACCGCAGCCCCGAGGGCACCTGATTGTGCGCAGGCACATGTGGGGTGCCGGGCATCAGAGCCAGCAGTCCTGCAGGGTGTGGTGACACGGGCAGGGCTCACCTCTCACGGTTCCCACCCACCACGCACTGCCAAACTCCCGACAGCTGCACTGCTGCTGCAGTTGCACAAAGCTCTCGGGGCGATGATTGAAATATTTTAGCTCTTCAGGCTTATCCGAACGCCGCATTCTAGGTGCAGCTTTCTAGTGTTGAGACACCAGCCCATTCCCTGAAAAGCTGCTCTGGCACACAGACATCTGCACCCCTGGCTCCCTGCCTGCGCAGTGCCTTCACGAATTGATGTGTATCAGCCAGTGAGGAAATTTGGTTTAATGGACGTGTTTTAATCTTGCATTGTGTAATACTTCACATGCAAACACACAGAGTATCCTAGGTATAGAGTCTTCATTTCTGCCCATTTAGGAACTGTAGTAGCTCCAGAGCACCAGACCTTTTCAGGTTCTTACTTTTGTATTAAGTTGCAGGTAATAAGAATCTCGCACTTATAATCTGAACTGAAATTTGCTTGGTGGCAAGTATATAGGTTTGTGCATCTTTCTCAGCTAGCAGCACATGGTTAAATTACAGTCCCACAGCAGAGCTGTAAGAAAGAACCTGGAGGCCTCCAGCCTAACTTCTCCAAGGAGATCTGTCCCAGTACCAGAGCCTTGTCCAGCTCTCAATACCCTGGGCCACAGCCACCCACCTCTCTGGGGTCCTGTCCCAGGGCTGCAGCACCTGTGTGGGGAAGGAAGGTTCCCTCATGTCCAAGCTGAATCTCCCAAATCCTATATAAAAAGAGAAAAAGTCATTGATCTAGATTTACATGTAGGGAAAAAAAACCAAACAAAACAACAAAAAAACCCCAAACCAACACATTCTCTGAAATGATTAACCAAAGGAAATGAACATAAGCAACCAAAATATTTGGTGTCCAGAAACAAGCCTTAGGACAAGCAGAAGCTGATCTCCTGCATGGCTTCTCTGGAAAAAGTGGCCCTGACTGTGAGGGCTGTGCTAAGCAGAACTCACAGGGGTGGAGAAAGCACCCTCTGCCCTGCACAAGAAGCTGCTCTTGCCAAATACTGGCTGAACACTTCTGACAGCTACTTTCCATCTTCTACCACAACAGCCTTTAGCTCTCAGGGGCAAGCCACTGTTACATAAATCATCCTTTAGTCATCTCTTAAAAACCAAAGCACGGTCAGCTTTCCCTCCAGCAGCAGGGAGAAGCCAGATTCCAGGACCCTTGGCACCACACCATCTCAGAGCCCCTGACGCTGAGCTGTGGCTGAGTGCTTGGAGCAGGTTGATCATTCACCAAGTTTGAACCCCAGTCACCAGGGCGGGCAGAAGCATGCCGAGTCAGCACTGCGAGGAAGGGCATTGTGCAGAACGTTAATCCCTCTGCTGCTTTCAGGTTATAGGGCAGGCTGTCTCTGACACGTGTTGTCAAAACTGACACGCCTGACAACTGTCACAGTGAGATCAGATTTTACACAAAAGCCCTGTTGGGCCGAGGCAGGCGGATGGTCTAGTGGTGCACAAGGGCTTCGTGCAGCAGTAGAGGTTGAGGATGTGGTCACGCTGCAGAAGGCCAAGTGCAGATGAGTGCTGTGCTCTCCCTGCCTGGGTATTGCAGCCATGGGAAACGCCGCCTTCTCTTAGCAGGTTTGGGCAGCCAAGTGCTTTCATAGGTAACAGCTGTGCTTTCAGTAACCCACTGCTCCTGTCTCTCCTAGCACTGCTGCTGGACCTGGTGATGGTGGCGGTGGTGAAGGGGCTGGTGAAGCGGCCACGGCCCACCCACAACAAGATGGACATGTTCGTCACCATCTCAGTGGACAAGTACTCCTTCCCCTCGGGCCACGCCACCCGCGCCGCCCTGGTGTGCCGCTTCGTCCTGCGGCACCTGGTGCTCGCCATCCCGCTGCGCGTCCTCGTGGTGCTCTGGGCCCTCATCGTCAGCATCTCCAGGGTGATGCTGGGCAGGCACAACATGACAGACGTGCTGTTCGGGCTGGTGCTGGGCTACGCCCTGTACAGCGTGGTGGAGCACTGCTGGCTATCCCCGCTCAATGCGCCCGCCCTCTTCGCGCTCTGGGACCACTGACAGACGGGCTCCTCGCAAAGGAGGGGCATGTGCTGGTTTTCTAAGGGAAGGGATACTGCAACTTGAACTTGCATCCTAAACCCCATCAGTCCGGCCAAGACTTGTACACGAGCGGTGCTGCAGGCTCCTGGCCTGCACTTGGATGTTTGGTGCTGTCTTGCCCTCCTGGTCAGGTGTCAGGCAGGGTCTGCACTGGCCAAACAGCTGCACTGACTGTTCTGTGACAAAAAAAACAGTCTCTGCAGAGCCTGGGGAGGGCTCAGCACATTTCATCCGGCAGCTCACTGCTGATACTGTGAATCTGCATGCTCTTGCTGGTCACTTGCAGTAGCCCATGGTGTATGTGGTAGCTGTGACTTCGCAGAGGTTTGTCTACAATCACTCATGTATCTGTATCCTATAAATACACTGATCACGCTGCTGTCATAAGCATATCCTGTGCAGCCTGCTCTATAAAACCTGTCTGGAGGGGCTCGTGGGGGTCTCTCCTCAGAGTTATAAATAGCTCTGCCTTTCTCTCTTCCCTTCTGCTCTCAATTCAAGTACTGCACTGAGGTCAGATATTAAGCAATGAGGACACAGGCACCTGGCTCCCAATGCCATGGGGAAAGGATAGTGGGACTAAAGGGCTGGTCCATCCAGTTGATAACAGGGGAACAGCAGCCTGGTTCTGAAGCCCTTGTGCGGAGCTTCCCTGCTTCTTTTCCCCCTCCACAGGATTTTCAGTTTCCCAGGGGGTACAATGCATTCCCAGCAATTCCTGATCGTCAACATGTTCCCAGGCTGCAGGCAGCATTCTGGAGAACCAGCCCCTTCCTCATAGCCCAGCAAAACACCCTCTCCCAGGCTGCAGGGCAGCCCCAGGACTGAGCCTTACCTGCACCTCCTGCAGGTAAGCAAGAAGCTCTGACAACCACCACCTGCCCTGGTACCACTGGTCAGGGTAGTCTGTTTTTCACCAGAGGGCTGCTTGTCCTCAGCAGGAGGGGACCACAAGGAGCCTCTGTAATGAGCTGGAGTTGAGACTGTACCAGAAAAGCAGAAGAACCAGAGCCACGCAAGGAGGGAAGGCTCCGGACTAAGCTTAAATAATGAGCTTAAATAGCGCTCCTGGTGTGTGGGTGGGGTGATTGGGTCCAGCTGAGGCTCCTTGTGGTCACTGAGGTCTACTAATGTACTCAGGCTCTGGAAAGCACCAATTAAGTCATATCAAGACCAGGCAGTGTTTAAGTGTGCTGTTCCCCGGGGTGAAGTGTGCAAGAGCAGCCTGAGGGGCACTGGCACAATCGCCCTGTCACTGTCTGTCACCCACTGTCAGTTAAACAGGCACAGAAAGTGCTTGACAGAGTTCCCCCAGAGCCAAGCCCTGACCCACTGCCAGGGTGAGCCAGTGAAACTACCAGATGTGGGTTTGTGCTCCAGTGACCAAAAAAAATAATCCCCTGGGTTGCACTGCATGCCTGGCAGCCGGCTGGGCCAGTTCAGCATGTGCACAGCAGCACCCGGACACCCCAGCCAGCCCTCCTGCCCCAAGGCAGAGACAAGCCCTGCGGTGGCTGCAGGAGCACAGACAGGTGGCACACTGCAGCGTGGGTAGGATTTGAGGTGATCCAAGCTTGGTGAGCTGTGCCAAAACACCTCTGCTCTTTCCCAAACACAGCGTGCATTTCATCCAAGCGATTCTTACAGTCATTGGGATCTTCCTCTCCAGGTCATGGAGGAATACAACAGCAAATCCACAAAGCCACACCTCTGGCTTGTTCCCACATACATGTGCGTGCCAGAAGTTGCCCCAACTCACTTGCAGGACCCTCCATGAGCTGCCTGTTGGCACCCACCAGTGCACAGCCCTTCTGGTTCACAGGCTGCCCAGCCACTCTTACCTCTTCTCTACATCTCCCCACCTCCACCAAAGAGACTTTGGTCTCCTCCTGTGCTTGTCACTTGTCATTGCTCCTCCAAAGATGAGTACTAACCCACTGATAAGAAGGAGTAGACTGGTGCTTTCTGCTCTGCTTGTCCTGTGGCACCCCTGCCTACTGTGGAAGCCCAGAGCAGACACTGCTCCCCACACTGTATATCCTGAGTGCTTGCCAGGCATGGGGAACTGTAACTTTCCCATGGACATCAACCAGCTGGTCTTGACTGAAATGCCATGGCATGAGCCCAAGCACAGCACAGCAAAGTCCAGAGCAGTGCAACCTCCTGTAGAGAGAAGAGCAAATTGGGAGGCAATCTGCGAAAGATTGATAGGATAGCAGTGGGGTTCAGAGGTCTCCTGCACATATCACCCTTGTGCAATCCAGGCAAAGCTCGCAAAAGAGCCAGAAGCCAGCTGAGAGCAGAGCAGGGAGAGTAGTACTGCCAGTGCTGCCACATTGCTGTACCCGTGCTGATCCCCCTGCCTGGTAAGACGCTTTCGATGCTTTTTGATGGGCAGGCACAGTGTGTGGGTTCGCAGCTCAGCATCTCTGCCCTGGGCAGAGATCAGCCCTTGCCATCAGCAAGGTACAGAGAGAGCTTTATCAAACTTACTGCAGACATACTGTGAGGCTTAGAAGCTTAAAGCCATTTCAGCTGCAGAGCTTGACTCCTCCACAGCCCTGTGCTTTGCTCAGCTCTGGGACAAAGTTCCCAGGACATGGGAGAGCAAATTTCCACTGCAGTCCAGAAGGGCTGTCTGGCTGTGAGTGTGCAGGAGCCAGCAGGAAGCTCTGGATCCACATGATCTGTGCCTCCTGCTGCCGGGGACAGCCTTTTTCTAGCTGGCCCCACCACCCTGAGCCGCGGTTGTAGGGACACTGTGCCAACACGCCCAGCCCAGGGCCACGGGGGGCGTGGGCGATACGCTGCCGAGTGCCACCGGAGCACATAGAGCCGTGTGTGCCCCCGGCTACCAGGATAAACAGGGTTGGGCTGATCCATATAATCCCAGAGGTAAAAGTTCAGGGCAGTGTTTGTTCACTCAGCACGCACCCACGGAGACCGGCTGCGTGTCTGTCTCCCCGCACGGCGCCCGGGACGGCTCCTCATCCTGCTGTCGAGGCTGTAGCGACAGCCGCTCCCGGAAAAGCCGAGCAGGCGCCAGGAGCCAGCCGCGTCCTGGCTTCCTTCCCCTGGCGCCGTGGGAGGAGTGACGGAGGGGGAGGCTCCGCTCACGGCCGCTGCGTATCACAAAGCCAGGCCGCGGTCCGGCCTCACGACGAGGGGCAACCCGGCAGAGACCCCCGAGGGGCTCCCCGCCTGCCGCCCGCCTTCCCTGGGCTGCTGCTCCCACAGCCGCAGGTCGGTGGAGGGTGTCCCGGTGGAGGATGTTCTCCGGGAAGTGGGTACCGGGGCAGCAGGACGGGGAAGGAAGAGGGCGAAGGGCAAGTAGAGGGGCTGTCACCCACCTGGGAAGGAGCCATCGGGCTCCATGACAGGGCACGGCATTCTAGTGTGCCTCCATCGCTGGGACTTGGCACGGGCAAGGAGATTTTCAGGCTGCCTGGAACTCGGTAGCATTCCTCCCCAGGGCATCCAAAGGTAACACCAAGATAGTACAAAACTCAGCAGTGGCCAGTCCCCACTTGGCAGGGGGGAGGAAACAGAAGCTACTTCACAACCCCAGGCAAACTTCGGGGGGGCTGCCTCTCTGCTTGGGGCCTCTTTGGTGCACAGGGCCAAAAGTTTGCACAGCTGCACTCCCCAGCCTCACTCTCTGGCACTGTCCCCAGGCAGAGATTCGGTGGTGAAGCCCAACATGGCAAAGAGAGTGGCCATCATCGGCGGAGGCAGCAGCGGGCTGTGTGCCATCAAAGCCTGCCTGCAGGAGGGGCTGGAGCCCGTCTGCTTCGAGAGGAGCCGGGACATCGGAGGCCTCTGGAGGTTTGAGGTAAACCCTGCCAGTCACGTATTCTGGTGGGGGTCAGCAGAGTGGCCCCCAGGGATCAGTGGTGTCTGATGGGGTGGCATGCAGCCAGCCATGGTGGGGTCCTCTCTGTGAGACTGAGGGAAGGGGCTCCATGTAAAGGAGCAGCACAATCAACCTTGGCCATTCCTCCCCATCAATCCCCTGGCCAGTGGTAAGCCATGCCCTGCTCCTACAGGAGCGCCCTGAGGATGGCCGTGCCAGCATCTACCGCTCCGTCATCATCAACACCTCCAAGGAGATGATGTGCTTCAGCGACTTCCCCATCCCCGAGGACTTCCCCAACTACATGCACAACTCCAAGATCATGGAGTACTTCCGCATGTACGCTCAGCACTTTGACCTGCTCCGCCACATCCGCTTCAGGGTGAG